ATTAATTAAATGAGAGATTAATCTCTCGGAAATCAATTAATTGAATTGACTGAAATCATCGTTAGTATTAGTTTAATGAAAAAAGTCTAAAATGGAAACAAATCCGAGTTCAATTTTTTAATTTTAATGAATTTGATTATCAATAATTAAATATTTAAAGGAAGCAAGCTATTCTCTTTCTCAAGTCTGTATACAAAAAATAATAATAATAAAAATGATGAAAAATAATTTTGTTGTTGTCATTTTACTCTTTCTTGCTATAACGGGTTTAGGATTTTCAGCTCCACAAAAAAGAGCAACTATATCTGATATCACCCCAGATGAAGTCGTTACGGTTCCTAAACTTGCTCAGGATCAGACTCCAATAAGTGAACTGCAAAATTTGTCAAAATCATGTCAATTAACATTACTTAGTATTGTTGCCTCTCCAGAATTTCTACAATGCATTCCAATTTTTGCATTTTTACCACTTTTGCCATTTTTAAGCAATCCTAATGAAATTGCATCACTTATTTCCGATCCAAAGACTGAACTTTCAAAACTTCAACCTTTCTTGATAGAATTCTCTAATGACCTCTGTACAGCACCAAAATGTTCTGATCAGTTGATTGCAGATACTATCAAGTCAATTCAAACCGGATGTAATCAAGTTGATATGAAAAACCCAATAATAGAATTCATAATTCCTGCTGCAATTTTCTATTCTCCCGCGAGGGACACAATATGTTTTAAAGATGCTGGAAACAAATTTTGCTTAGTTGAAGATGAAATCACCACTTTAATCAGCTTACCTAAATCTCCATTTAATTTTGGTGGCGGAGACTTTATTAATTCTATTCTATTTGCTGATCCAACAGCCATATGCACTACATGTAACCAGGCGATTTATAACACTTTCAACAATTTTATCAATAACAACGATTTGGCTAAACAGTTTCTTGCTGGAGTTCAGGATCTTTTGAACAGTATTAGAGTTTGGATTGCTGTTAAATGCGGTATTAGATTTTAAGGTAAATATATCCATACCTCTATAAAAATATATCATTATATGTATATAATAATTTTCAATTAGCTTTCTAATTCTTTCATTTTTTTATTTTAGATGGTAAAGGTACCTGATCCATCAAAACCACCATCAAAAAAATAACGAATTTTTTTATTTATAAAACTTATAGATTAATTTCAATCATTTAATATAATTTTTATTTGTTCGTAATAACAAATTAATTAACAAATTAATTTGATTCTGATTAAAGATCGTTATATATATACGACACAGTAGATAGATAACACGAACATACATGTATGAAAAATTTTACTCAACTCTGCTATATCCCCTAGAGTAAAAAAACTTTTTTTCCAATGTTCTTAAAGAAGAAAATTACATTTATATATGTTCATTGACATTTGCTTCATAATATAAAATAAAAAAAGTTATTTTAAAGTACTATAGCACAAATTAAACAAGAATTTTCTCAACATCAGAGCATTTACACATAAAAAAACAATTATTTGTTTAAGCGAGCAAATAAGAACAGGTAACAAAATTTTAATCCATACAATCGTTGATTGACCAATCAAAATCGTGAATTTGATGACGTAAAAATAAATGTTGGTTTAATTCATTTTGTCAACAATAACTTCACCAACAGTTGTTTCGTTAACAAATGATTCGAATTTAAGAAGTTGGAAGCAACCATGCAACAAACCTTTGAAATAGTCTAATAAATTAAATTGTACTACTCGAAAATGTATTTAAAGGGCTGGTTTTCGACTTGGTCGAAGAATAAATCTCTTCCTAACTTTTCTCTTGACCATATCTCCCTCGATATAACCTTAATATAATGAATGTCGACAAAATGATTGTAAACACAACCAATATTTAAGATGTACGATTAAGACAAAACATGAACGATGTATGAAAAAAATCAAACAAATTTATTTTTAATAAAAACAAAATTTACACCCAAAAAATATTTTTTTCGCATGTTCTAATAAAATTTCCATTGTTGCTGTTGCATCACCTATTGCTGATTCAACGTTCTCCGGATCATCATCAACTGTATTTTCGATATTTTCGATATTTTCGATAAACTCATTTTCGTTAATCTTTCATCATACTTTCTTTTAGTGCGTTGACATTTTTTTTCGACCTGAAGACAGTCCGAGATATTAATATAACCAATCAATTAATTATTTGCGATTAAAAACTTGCTACGGTAATCTATTAATAATCTAAACCAACCTGCATTAGGTAAAATCAAATGTTACGCCAAAAAAATTATATATATACAATTGTCTTACCTGATTTGGATACAACTTATAATAAAAAAAAAAAAGCTTATGATATATCCAAAATAGTTATTGAACTTTATCAGCAAAAAACTTACCAAAATCAGATGTTGCTTCAATTATGATCAAAAGCCGTATTTTCTCTCTGAAATTTTCAAACAAATAATAATGATAAAAATTAAATACTGAATTTTCTTAGTTCTAAACTAAACAAATTCTACAAAAATTTATAACAATGTTAGTTTACACTTTATATATTAAAAAAGTAACAGGCATTTATTTAATTGAATCATAAAGAAAGTTTCAATCCTTTTTTTAAATCAAACACCAAACGAAAGTAAAAAATTTGTTCACAAAAAATAATTTTATCTTAATGATAATTCCATTATCATTGCCTATGTCATTGTCATTGTCATATCCTTGTTCTTGTCCATGTCATATTCTTTTTTAACATATATAAAAGAAGAAAAATTTTCCGTGTTGTGTAGATTTTTTATATGTTTCCCTAACCTAACGACTTTACCCAATTTTGAAATGTTTGGTTGCACGGGAAGATTCGTGGAGACTTGTAACGATAAATTCAGTTCCGTTACGGTACGAATCACCACGAATATAAATATCCTGTTTTTAAATTTGATAAACTGAATTTTTGGGGAAGGATGAAATCAAAATCAAAGGGTAAAACTTTGTGATAAGTCGTTTTTTTTCTTTGCTGCGCTGGCTTGAAATGATTTGCAAATTGATTTAAATAAAATTGAAATTTGAACAGAAATATTTTCGTTTTCCAAAAAATGATAAATGGTTGTGGTTATTTTACGTCACCGTACCGTGTGAATCCCAATTGTTATCAGTTGTCATGATTTATGAAACTGAAAAACTTATCTGTTTTGGTTCAAAACGTCAGTATTGAGCGAAACAGATATTTGACTGAAAGGAAATCGTGTTTCGCTTTAGATATTTTTGCGTGGTATCGACAGCTGTCTACTGTTATGTCTTCGACTCGCTCTGACGTTTTGGGCCGTTCAAAATGACCAAAAACTGATAGTCTTGTCTTGGAACCTTTACCTCGGATCGTCAAAGGCTTGTCACACAACGTGTCAATGATATTTTCTGGTCAGGGATTAAAAACACTTTTTTACATTTTATTTGTTGTCATTATCGGTCAATTCAATGATCGATAAACAAACAATATGTACAGATTTTTTTTGATTGTGGATGATCGGTTTATATTATTATTTTATCTGGATAAAAAAAATTTTATTTTTAGTTGAAATAATCTTTGCAAATGATTTTTCTTTATTAAGAAAAAAAAAGCTTTGTTGATTTTTTTTTTAACAATTGAAATTTGTAAGTAACTTTTGATGTTTGAATGAAGCTTTTTCTTCTATAGCGATAGACTTGAAAAAAAATCCAATTAACCCATTGATCTATTAATAAATAAACATGGGGAAAAGATTGGGACAAGTAGATCTCTTTTTTTTTGATTTTTCTAACAATCTAAATTCGTAAATTCACATGAGAGTTCTTCTTTGCAATGGATCCTTTATTAAATTTATTAAATTCGTGAACGATTTCCCCTTGTATGTGAACAAACAAACAAACAAATTTTTTGCTCAACGCAACGAATAAAATAAAAATATTGATATAATAATAATATGACTGTCTAATGTTGTTACTCCGAACAAATATAATAGATGGGTACCTTGCATTTGAATGTAACGTGTAAAGTCAAAACATACATAGAACGCAATTTTGGCACCATGTGCCTCGTCGCTCGAATTCAAATACAACATAAAGAGCAAAACCAATACACAAATTTTTTGGTCCACGAGTGGGGTTTAGTGGGTCTATTTATATGTTTTTGTTGTAATTTATTAGACTACTCGATCTGGTCATGGAATAGTCTATTTTTATTAAAGATTGCATCATTGGTTAATATGTTTCGCATCCAGTGCTAATTTTGATGCTCCGAACGAATATATATGTATATGATTGAGCCATGCGATTTTATTATAATATATCATTGTACAATACTAATCTGTATTTCAAGAAACTCACTGTTACGTTTTCGTTTAAACGCTTGTTATATCATTAGTGTATTTTGATTTACACGGAATTACTAAAATACCAATAGTATTTTCAGGATATCTAGATAATACCGCTTCTAAAGAACGTAATATATCAACACCTTCAAAAAAAAAAATAAATTTAATTCAAATATTTTGAAAAAAATATAATTATAATTGAATTAAAAATAACCATACCAACACTCCCTCTATAATTTTTACATTGTACAACAACAAAAACTTTTCTAAATAATCCTTCAAGATCTACTCCATTATCACCAGAAGATATTTCTATCCTATATAAATAAAAGTAAAAAAAATGAGTAATTATGTCATCGTTATCAAAATAAATGTTCCAGCGTACGGTATATCATTTATTATATATTCTATTCACCACAGGTCTAGTTCGAAAGAGTTACGACTTTTCGGTAACGAAGAAGGACGTTCACAACAGATCGTCCACAGTATATTAGGTCTGGTTACCTAACTGGTAACTTTCATAAGTTGTGGCCACGAAGCGCTTCCAGTTCTTCGATTTACACCTAGTGGCAGCGTAACTTCAGATATATAATAACTCAACAACTACTCAGTGGTAAAAAAACTCACTTTCTTCTGTGAAAATCTATATCAAGTCGTTCTTTAATATTTTTAAAATTTCTAATTCAAAAATGGCGCCTCTACATATAGCAGTTTCTTTTCCCATTATAATAATAATTTTTTTGTTAAAAGAATTAAACATTTTTACAGATTTTTCTTTAATATTAAAAAAAAAAAGAATATTTGAACAAAGAAATTTTTAAAAATTCCTTGCACGTTTTTATTATCTATTTTGTGGAGGTTTGTTTACATAATAATAAATGCGCATATTTTATTGGCAAGCATCATTTGTTCGAAAATACCACCATGTGATAATAATAATAGTTTTCTTTAAAAAAAAACTTAAGAATTCCCGTGAAACTCTGATTTACTTTATGGGACATTCTTCAGTTAAACCGGTTTTATTGTTTTTTTTTAATTATATATAGTTGGCTCAGTCTAAAGACCTCCTAAATTTTGGCAAATTTTAAAAGTATAGAAGTCACTTTCTGTCCTACCTTTTAAAAAATAGCTCTATTAGTTGATAGAATATGTCTTTAGTTTCAATGTAATAGAGAGATTTTCTCAAAAAAGTATTTGTTGTATATAGAGTTCTAAAACATGTACTTTATGCTCGCGAAATTGTCCACTATGATCATTTCTAAATTTAGTAAAATATTACCAAATTTAAACTAGCTCTTGACTATCGTATCTAAATTTGGCTTTAAGAAAACTAAAATCACGTGAAGTCCTATTTTTTGAAAAATTTTAGAACGAATTACAAAATTGCTATTTTGAAATTTGGTCGCATGGTGCAGCAATAGGAGGTCTTTAGACCAAGCCAACCATATTATTATTTATTTTAAACGGTAATGGTAATCATCACAGAAATTTCCCAAAAATCGTTACGGAGTCAAAATATTCATTACACGATTTAATGTCAGTTTTTTATAGTTCTAATTAATTCTTTGAACTTTTTTTTTTTTTAATTGTACAGATTGTATGTATATTAATATGATATGATTTAAGAAAAATTATGGTATACAGAAAAAAAGTAATGTATGAATTGTTACTATAATGTTTTCGGTTTAGGTTTCGATTTTCGGTTGAGATTTTGAATTTTGAATTCAGTTTTTGAACTGAAACGAAAATTTTACTAAAAATGGTTCAGCAGCTTGAAATAGTTTCGGTGGACATTCCTACTTTAGTCCTAGCTAACTAGAAGTAATTTCGATGACCAGATCATATATATGTTGCATCATTTAAATTAACTGTATTATTTAAAATATTGCTATTACTTACTTTCAACACAAGTTCACTTAAATTTAAATTTTTTTTTTTGATGATGCTTTTAAATAATTTGTTTTCAGTTTGTTTATTACCTAAAATTTTATCCTTTATCAATCCAGAAAAATAATATAATACGATGTATTTTTGATTATGCTAACAAAAAATTCATTAAAAATTTCTTTTCATTTTTCTAAATCGATAGATATTAATATTATTCATTTCTAAATCCTTCCGATTTTATATATATTATTAATACGTGTTGTAGTATTTCAAACACGTAAAACATGTTGTATTCAAACACGTAAAACGTGTTGTTGTATTCAAACACGTA